CTGTACGACCTCTTGCGTAACACCAACTTCAGGGGGGTTTCACTCAACCTAACCCGCAAGTTTGCGCAGCAGTTGTGTACAGCACTTCTCTTCCTGTCCACGCCGGAGCTTCAGATCATTCACTGTGATCTCAAACCTGAAAATATCCTGTTGTGCAACCCCAAGCGAAGTGCCATCAAGATTGTGGACTTCGGCAGTTCTTGTCAAATGGGGCAAAGGGTAAGAGTGGCATTTCTCGATGTAGAGATGGTCTTTATATTTTTATTGAAGAAAAAGATCTGTTTATTATCGTTTTGTTTTGTTGAGGTCTTCCTAGCAATAACTTTTATGGGAGAGAAAATGTGGGAATAAAGAGACTTGGTGAAAGAAGATTGTGAAAGTTTTATCCCTCTCTTACAGATATACCAGTACATTCAGTCAAGGTTTTACCGTTCCCCTGAAGTGTTACTGGGAATCCCATACAACATGGCCATTGACATGTGGAGTCTAGGCTGTATACTTGTGGAGATGCATACAGGAGAACCTTTATTTTCAGGGGCCAATGAGGTAAGTGTGTCATATTTTATACAAACAGTTTCTTGCTTGGCTGTTTTATTATCATTACCTTTTTTCTTTTTTTATACCTCTTAAACGTTTGTTTCTCAAATAATTGCTGTGTATTTTACAGCAGTATGTACATTTTTTATTTATTTTATTTATTATAATTATTTCTTTTGGCTTCATTAGCAAAGATAAACAGCTTTAAATTCTTTCTTAAAATAATTACAGTTTATTGTATCCCCTTTAATATTTGATCATTTTGGGAGTACCCATCACTAAGTCTCAGCAGCTCACGTACTTTCCTTTGTAATTGGACTGTTCTGAAGCTGTAGTCTCTTCTGCAGGTGGACCAGATGAACAAGATAGTGGAAGTGTTAGGGATGCCACCAAAGCACATCCTCGACATGGCGACTAAAGCACGACGCTATTTTGATAAGTTACCTGATGGGACCTATATTCTAAAGAAACCAAAGGATGGCAAGAAATACAAGCCGCCAATGAGTCGTAAATTGCGGGACATTATTGGGGTAGAGAGCGGCGGTCCGGGCGGGCGGCGCTTGAATGAGCAGGGTCACTCAGTCTCGGATTATCTCAAGTTTGAGGATCTGATTAAGAAAATGCTTGATTATGACCCAAAGACACGGATCACTCCATATTATGGGCTGCAGCACAATTTCTTCAAACGAACGAGTGACGAATCCACAAACACGAGTAACTCCACCAGTCCAGCAATTGAACACACGGTGGCCTCCCCAATCAACCATTCAACCTCACAAACTGGTTGGTCAAACTCACGACTTCTTTTATGATATACTTTACTTGAAGGTGTAGCCTATACTATGGTAATTGAGTGTAAACTTGTAGATACTGCCATAAAAACAGTCGACCTGTTAGTGTATTGTCATTTCTATTTCACATTACCAGTAGATATGTAATATATGAGGCTTTGTAAATGACAGTTTCTTGTCCTCTTTTTTTCTTTTTTCTATTGAAGTAGAAATTATTAATTTGTAATAGTTTTGTTATTTTTGTTTTATTATTTATTTATTTTTATTTATTTTTTACTTTTTTTTCAGTGGTGGTGTCGGGTCGTGCACGGTCAGACCCTTCGCACCAGCACACTCACACAGGGCACTCTCATGGGGCTATGGACTGTGAGGTGTTTACTCATCATGCAGCTCATCCTCCCCACTCTGCCCACCATCCCCGCCACGTGCACCCATACCATGCCCACCGTTGTCGACCACTGGACCCTCGCCCTCTAGATGCAGCCGGACGGCCCCAACCTCAGGCTACGGCAGCAGGCAGCGTAGCTGCTGCCGGAGGATCCTTGCCACCAACGGCAGTGTATGCAGCTCACCCATATTTGCCGATGGCACTGGACTGTACCCAGACCGGCTCTGTGAATCTGCCCTTGGCACCTAGTGGTGGTAGTAGTGGTGGTGGTCCACCCCAAGCATCCTACCAGTATCCTGGCATTCCCTCCTTCCCACCTTCCACTTCCAGTAGTAGTGGAGGCAGTGGAGGACAAGGAAGCATGGTCGGGTATAGCTACCCTGGTGGTTCTCTAGTGCCGGTTGTGTCAGGAGGCCCCAGTGTACTGTATGAAGGGGCACGCCCACCTGGGGGTCATCTTGAGCAACCACAACCGCTGCCCATGTCTCAGCAAGGTGCAGCAGGAGCAGCAGCAGTGGCAGCAGGAGCAGTGCGGGTGGGACAAAGACAGAGCAGCAGTGGTGGAGGAGGTGGAGGAGGAGGAGGAGGTGGAGGAGGAGGAGCAGGAGGAGCAGGAGGAGGAGGTGGTGGTAGTGGCTCAGGAGGGGCTGGTGCAGGGGGTGAGGACAGCCCCATGGTGGTGCAGCACAGCCCCCTGGCCAGTCATTAACCCCTGGGCTGACCTAGCAACCTGCTCAACAGTGTATTGTAAACAGTGGGCAGCCAGGCTTAGGACAGCTAGGAGTAAGTGAGCCTGGGCCGAGACAGCGCAGGGCGGGTGGGCACATTGTGGTGCAGGACCGTGTGTGCCTGTGTGATGTGAGCCTGTAACACCCAGAGTGGAGGCTGGCGGGGAACCACCCATGTTTCAGCGCCGCCGCCCCCCGGCCCCCCTCTCTCTCCTGCCACTGCTTTTATCTTGTTATTTATTATTCTGGTGAGGAGGGACTGGCCAAGGGCCGCCCTGCATCTGGCTGCCGGGCTGCCCGGGGGCCGGGCCGGCTGCGTTGGCTAATCCAGTCTCAGGAACTCCCTCCCCCCACCGCCACCACCACATCTAGACTACCACTTCCCTTACCCTCATCAACACTCCTCAAATAATGCCATCACTACCACACCCATCAATAGATCACCACCAGCATATTGCCTGCCACTGATGCATTGATAGTGCAGTAACCCCTCCTTTTTCCCTTTGTCTGTCTGATATTATGCATAACGTTCATAACTCAGTATTCAGTGAGTGCATTTTGGATTATTGCACTCCAATATCCTCCTACTACTTTTCCCAACCTTTTTCTAATCTTCAGTCTTGCAGAAGCACTTATCATGCAGAAAAAACACCTTCAGAGCAACACTGGTTCAGCTGGCTCCTCTCTCACAACAGAAATATTACACATAGTGAGCCAGTTCAAAAGTGTAGACAACACAAAAAATCTAATCATGAACCGTTTAGCCTTGTTCTACATTGAAAAAGTCATTGTTAAGTGAGATAAACAGGCATATACAGGTATTTCAATAAATACAGCAACACAAACATTGATCTCATATTTGGCAGCTTAAACATTTAAAAATCTTCAGTAACAAAAATTAAAATTCACTAACCAATGGTGATACAAAGCACCAGAAATCTAAGCATTTATCCAGTTTGCTCACATGTGAACAGGCAACAACCCACAAAAAAGAAACATTCAGCTTTTCTTACATGTAAACAATCATGCATATACAGTTGTTACAATTTCCTTTCCCTGACATTCATCCCTCCCACAAAAGCATATGGTGTAACTTTCTTCTACACCTCATTAAATGTATCATTCGTACAGCAGGATCCTATATATGCAAGCAGCTGGTGCATTTACAGCTAAGTTTTGTGCATCCTGCTGATGCATTACATAAATCACATCTCTTAGGACAATGAGTTCTGTTCATGTTGAGCCAGTTTCCCCACTAAACCAGCTGCTACAATTTCCAAACAGGAACTGTCAAACACCCATATCCAAGTGTAGTATCAGTCATCAGTCATCCCATCCCCCTCTCATTCCATCCTACACAACAACCCCACCCTGCACATCCAGCTTCAGGCCAGCTGGACTCTGCTCAGTCTGATAGCAGCTTGTAGCATTTGTAGAGTATATTCCAATCTGTACTTCAAAACCATAAGTATCAAAATACAGTCATAAATTATCTCTTTTTTTTTTTTTTTTTTTTTTTCTTTTTTTTTTTTGGTTCATGCTGAATCTTCAATTTTCAACTGCCCTAATTCCCTATCAACATCATGCCAAAGACCTCAGCACACCCTTCATTCCTCTTGACGTTTCCTCACCAGTTGTCTACAGTTTGTGATCTGGGGGACCCACCATTGGCCGTCATGTGTGGTCGCTATTTTATCACTGTCTTATTTCTCTTTTTTTAATGATGGAGGATTTGCTCACTTTTTTTACCTTTGCTTTTATATAATTTTTAAGGAAATGACGGGGTAATTTCTTTTTATATACAGTGGATTCCATAGGTATTGGTTTTGACTAAAACCAAATTGAATTTTTTTTTTGTTTTTAAGGAAGTGGATAGTCTCAAATAGAAATAACCGAAATCCATTTTTGGTTTCAGTGTTGGTAGACTAGTTTAAATAATTAGCAAGTTTGCTAACACAGTTTTATTCTGCTCTGTTCAGATAAAAGCAACAGAATTAATTTCACTTGTTGGGGTCAAAACTTTGATACATATCCCCCTCTCAATTTTACACTTGATATAAGCAACAGATTGCTGAGTTTGTGGACACTTCACAGAATCATGAAAGTGAGAATTACGTTAAAAGTATTTTCATAATTGAATTACTGTTTTTAATCTTGATATAAAACTATCACCAAAGTCTCTCCCTCTCTCTGTCTCTCACACACACGCACACACTCATATACACAGACACACGCTCACATACACACGCTCACACACACACACGCTCACACACACACGCTCTCACACACACACGCTCACACACACACGCTCACACACACACACACACACACACTCACACACACACACGCTCACACACACACACACACACACTCACACACACACACACGCTCACACACACATTCTCACACACACATTCTCACGCACACACTTGCTCACACACACACACACACACACACTTGCTCACACACACACACACACACTTGCTCTCACACACAGACACACACTTGGCTCACACACACACACACACACACACACACTTGCTCACACACACACACACACACACACACACACACACACACACTTGCTCACACACACACACTTGCTCACACACACACACACACACACTTGCTCACACACACACACACACACTTGCTCACACACACACACACACTTGCTCACACACACACACACTTGCTCACACACACACACACACTTGCTCACACACACACACACACACACACACACACACACACACACACACACACACACACACACACACACACACACACACACACACACACACACACACACACACACACACACTTGCTCACACACACACACACACACACACACACACACACACACACACACACACACTTGCTCACACACACACACACACACACACACTTGCTCACACACACACACACACACACACACTTGCTCACACACACACACACTTGCTCACACACACACACACACTTGCTCACACACACACACACATACACACATTCTCACACACACATACACACATTCTCACACACACGCACTGTGTGCGCGCACACACACACACACACACACACACACACACACACACACACACACACACACACACACACACACACACACACACACACACACACAGACACACACACACACACACACACACACACACACACACACACACACACACACACACACACACACACACACACACACACACACACACACACACACATGCTCACATGCATGTACACACACACACACACATGCACCCCCCCCCCACACACACACACACACATACATTCACACTTATAAGAGAGGGAAAGAGTAATGTGTATATTATGAATGAAAAAGACATGCAAATTTATATTATTTCTCTTTGATTAATTGTGCAAGAATTGTTATGCAAGGGAACATCAGTGGTCTGAATTTGGAAAACACTAAAAATTAAAATCCAATTTTTATGGCTTCGTGATAATGTTCACAAAAAGTATTTGGCCACAATTTGCATTATTTTCTATCTTTTCCTTGTTCTTCTTTCTATTTTCCTTTTTCAAGGGAAAAGATTATCCCATAGGAGAGCTGCAATAAAGTAAAACAGATTTAGAAATAATGATAAAGGCAATGAAACAAGACCATACCAATGGAAAAATCAGGGTTTACCCCCCATGTTACCTACTGATTTCTGTGTTGTTGTTGTTTTTTTTTCACATTTTTATCAATTTATTTTATTTTGTATTAGGTAAATTTTGTTCTTATGTTGCATCTTTCCCTTAAGTGCTGTTTTCATGAATGGTGTTCGTCACAGGGCATTTATTCTCTGGTTTGTCATAACATATAAGGCACATCCGTCAGTATGTCGATGCTGTCGAAATTAGATATGTCTGTGTCTGAATGAGAAGCAAACTTCACTAATTTGCAATTTAAGGCTTATAATGAATATAGTTAAGATTTGGATGAGAGTCAGGTGAATAATGCCCTTGCCCTACCCTTCTCTGAGCATCAATTATAATTATAGTTATTATTATTGTCATTATTATTATTGTCATTATAATTATTATTATTATCATCATTATTAATTATTGTGATTATAATTATTATCATTGTGTACATTTGCTCACAGTGGCATACCCTTTTTGTGAACGCAGAGCTCACTCACAGTCAGTGTGCGCGGTCCATGATGTGTACATAGAGCATGTTTGGCAGGTGAATTCTCACAAGAAAGCCAATTTGAAATGGCCAATTTAAGCGTCAACCCAGACTCCGCTCAACCAGTCAACTGGCTGTAAAGATTTTTGTGGAGAATTTATTTCCCAGACATGCTCATAGTCTAGCAGCTGTTGGGAGACAGGGTGGTAGGTAAATGTCAGGCAAAGGGCAAGCTTGGCAGTTTTATGAGTCTTCAGATTACTGCTTACATGTACAATGTAGGTCCTTGCATCTTTTGAAACCCTTGAAACTGTTGAGTTGCCACAGACCAGTTTAGTAAAAGTAAACAGAGAAGTTGGAAGTTTGGAGTGGTTGTAACCAACACATTACAGAAACAAAACAAAAAAGAAAAAATAAATAAATAAAATAAAACAGAGAGACTGTCCTCCTACCATACGACCTCAGCGCTCAGTGGCTTGGGGCTGCCTTTGAGGACGGGGTGTCACAGAGACCCATGTCCTGCCCTCCTCCGTGCTGTGTTGTGCCACTATGGTCATTTCTCGTAGCCAGTACGATGTAGAGGCCTAACACTACCAGACTATGGCATAGATTTTGCTCATCTTGCAAGGAATATAGCAAACTCTTGGATAATTTCATAAATGAACCCTTTTTCGTTATTGCTTCTTAATTGGCTTGCAGTAGTAGCATTGTTAAATTTTACATTTTTTCAGCTTTTAGGTGGTTGTATGAAATTACTCAGTGTAATGTTGAAGTTTATAAAAGTACTTTTTCAGAAATAGATTTATTTGTTACATGCTTGAGAGAAATCTAAAGACTGTGATCATCCTAAAGGGGTCAGATACTTTGATGAATGTAGTGTTTGTCTGCCATTGGTGGTTTGTACATCATTGGCATGCAGCACACCACAGGTAGAGTTGACATCTGCTTCTGCTATTACCTGTGCATCTGTCCTTTTTGTAAATTCCATATAATTACACTTATTTTATATCATTCACAGTGTAGTACAACAGGAATTGTATTGATTTATTTTGGATCTGCTCTGTATAAAATTTCATTGAACCCATAAAAAAAAAAAAAAACACATGGGCACAAAACACACACGGGCACACACACACACACGGGCACACACACACACACGGGCACACACACACACACACACGGGCACACACACACACACGGGCACACACACACACACGGGCACACACACATCCACACACACACACACACACACATCCACACACACACACACACAGGCACACACACACACACATCCACACACACACACACATCCACACACACACACACACACACATCCACACACACACACATCCACACACACACACACACACACACACATCCACACACACACACATCCACACATCCACACATCCACACACACACACACACACACACACACACACACACACACACACACACACACACACACACACACACACACACACACACACACACACACACATGGGTACACACACATGGGTACACACACATATGGGTACACACACATACACACATGGGTACACACATGGGTACACACACTCACACACACATGGACACGTACACACACACACACACACATGGGCACGTACACACACACACACACATGGACACGTACACACACACACACACACACACATGGGTACACACACACACACACATATGGGTACACACACACACACATATGGGTACACACACACATGGGTACACACATGCACACACATGGGTACACACACACACATGGGTACACACACACACATGGGTACACACACACACACATGGGTACACACACACACACATGGGTACACACACACACACACACACACACACACACACACACACACACACACACACACACACACACACACACACACACTCAAACATATAAACATGGACACACATTCACTCACTCACTCACTCATGCTCATGCACACATCTCTCTCTCTCTCTCTCTCTCTCTCTCTCTCTCTCTCTCTCTCTCTCTCTCTCTCTCTCTCTCTCTCTCTCTCTCTCTCTCTCTCTCTCTCTCTCCCTCCCTCCCCCCCCCCCTTTATTCACTCCCTCCCTCCCTCTTACCCTCTCTCCCCCCTCCCTCCCTCCATCCCTCTCACCCTCTCTCCCCCTCTCCCCCTCTCACACAGATACACGCACACGCACATGCACACACGCTCACACACACACTACAACAACAGGTAAAAGGCAGTAAACTGTGATGCCGTGTATTGGTCTACCTGACCCAGATTCCAGTGGTGTGTTGTCTGCTACTGGTGCCCCATAGGCCATTGGTGTAAACTACGACACAGGTG